CCCCTCCCATCCTTAATTTTATATTTCTATTTTATTTTCCGTTGTATATGATATAACTGCACATGTTTATTTGGTAGTCTGGTCCTAGCCTCGTCACTACTTCACCGAGGTTAGGCTAGGCACTTACCAGCACATGGGGTCGATTGTGCTGATATTACACTCTACACTATGTGCAGATCCCAAACCACCAGCATTCGGACCTTAGCTTGGGTGGCTGCCTTCACTCCAGTCGGAGATTCAGAGGTAGTCTTGCAAGCGTCCGCAGGCCCTGGCATCTCCCTCTATCCCTTCATCCTGTTTCATTTACATATTTCTGAAATGGTATATTATTTATCTTTTAGACCTTGTTTTAGTAATTCTAGATTGTCTGTGAAGCGTGACACCAGTTCTGGAGAGATATTTGCTTAAGGTGTTGTATTGGATACATATTCAAATGGTTTATCGTTCTCTTCCGCTTGCTTTAAATTTCTGCTGTTTATAACTGTTGATTACACTTGTTAAAGAATTAAAATGGGAAGAAGGTAAATTGTGCAAATGGTCAACTTGCCTAGCTTTCACTAGTAGGCGCCATCACGATTCCTGGGGGTAGAAAATTCGAGTCGTGACAGATAGACAAGTAAGGACCGAAAGAATATCACGAGTAATATTAACCTTGTAAATTAATAAATTAGATAAATCAAGTAGTCAATTTAAGTGGATAACTTCAACATTATTGGAAAATTAATTCAAAGTTGTAGTAGAAAATCTTAGTTATTTAGGATTTGGTTTACTTAATTCATGTCTAAATATGATTTCTAGCCATAATTATATAGGAATAGGTTTTCATGTTTCTAGTTAAAATATGTTTCGTACTATTATAAATAGGTGCATTGATAGGTTATTTATGTGTGGAGGAAACTGAGAATTGTAAAGAGCTTTCATAGATTAATAACAAAATATTTTCCTTTATATTGATATCAGAGCTTCTACGATCTTGGGAAAGAATCAAGTAGCTTTCGTTGTCGGCGGGCACCGCTAGCCAATATGTGTCGGCCGGCTGGCCAAAAAATATGTTAGCAAAATGATAGATAGTTGTCAATAAAATTAGACTATTCGATGAAAAGTTTCAAGACAGATTCAAGAAAAAAAAGCAAGTTTAAAGCGGTGAAGAAAAAATAAAATTTGGGAGTTGATGACAGGTGCATCAGCAATTGGATGTTGGTGACAAAGTGCATCAACGAAAATTGGAGACAGGTGCTTCAATAAAATTGGGTGTTGGTGACAAAATGCATCAACGAGGGTTGGAGACATGTGCTTCAACAAAAGTAGAATTTGGAGAAAAGTTTTCCAAGACAACAATACAAACAAGCTAGACGTATACAACTTTGAATTACGAGAAAATGTTTAAAAACTAATTCAAAGTTGTAGTAGAAAATCTTAGTTATTTAGGATTTGGTTTATTTAATTTATGTCTAAATAGAATTTCTAGTCATAATTATATAGGAATAGATTTTCCTATTTCTAGTTAAAATATGTTTCGTACTATTATAAATAGGGGAATTGATAGGTTATTTATGTGTGAAAATTTATGAGAATTGTAGAGAGTTTTCCGCGATTAGTAACAAAATATTTTCCTTCAAACATGATTAATTGATAGCTGACCCATATTAAGGTAAAAAAATTGCATTTGGCCAAATTGCTCTTCATAATTTACGCTCCATTAAAGTGCTTATCTTTGCCTTCAGGCTTCGGCTCTCACATATTTCATGGTGATGAGTTCCCCTCCATTGTTCATTTCCAGGTTGCGAGTCTTTGGATGAAAAGTTCCTCAAAAGTATTTTAGTAGGCGTTTGGACATAAAAATTGTACTTTTAAAAATAAAAAAATATTTAGAGTTAAGTTGAACAATTAAATTTGAAATTTCAAATTATGTTTTGACATGCATATCACTTGAAAAAGTATAAAAAATTTGTGAGTGGGGAAATTTTTCCCAAATTAGTGTAAATTTGATTTATTAGGAACACTAATAGCATGTTTGACCAAGTTACTAAAATCAGTTTATTTTGAAAAGTACTTTTTTTCAAAAATATTTTTTTTCAAAAGTATTTTTGGTGAAAAATACTTTGTATTTGTTTAATTAATTTGAAAAGCACTTCTGAGTTCTGAGTAGGAATTAGTGTTTGGCCAAACTTTTAAAAAGTACTTCTAAATATATTTTTCTCAAAAATACTTTTGGAAAGAAGCTACTTTTTTCTGCTTCTCCAAAATTGTTTCTGCTTCTACTCTATAAGACTTTTTTTCTTCTAGAAGCTTGGCCAACCACTTCAACTTTGGGGAAAAAATCCTTTTTTTAATTAAAAAAAATACTTTTGGTCTTGAAGAAACTTGACCAAACACTTAAACTTTGAAAAAATAAAGCATTTAAAAAAAAGTACTTTTGGCCTTAGAGAAGTTTGGCCAAACAGACTATTAAATCAATGCAATATCAAGAATATAAAAGTTAGTTAGTTAATATCAAAATCATATAAATATGCCCAACATCACAGCTTATACGAAGAAAAAGAAAAGAGAAGTTCGTTGTAGTCCAATATTTCCGCAACAATGCTGAAAGTAATCTTCACCTTTTCTCTGTGGGCATGATGATACAACATAACATATAATCTATATATGATCTAGCATTGTGAAAGGACCCTACGCATTAATTTCAAACCTTCAAAATTAATTTGACAAACTGTTTTTTTTCTCAATCGAAGCAACTTGAAATTTTATAAAACACAAAAGCCAAGAGGAGACAAACATTACATATAAGATCGAAGTTGCTTAAATATAATATAGACTCACTGGCTTCCACATATGCAAACCTTACTCTAAAAGTGTGAAATCTTGGGTGTCGTCTTAATTCTTTCTCAAATGATTTGCTTCTTTAGTAATGTAAGGCAAGTAAGAGTCAAAAGCAAGATCCTTATGCTTCTTGTGAAAAGTAAGCTCAAAACACCTCCCCATATTAGATCTTACGCCTTTAGAATCTAACCAAACCCACTTGAATTTATGACCATCGTAAACATCTTTCACCTTCTCATTGTGATCCAATGTGACTTTAAAATTCTTCTCAGGTTTACTCACTTTGAATCTACGGTTTTCGGAATAAATCTTGTTGCCCAAATAGATTTCAGCAGCTTTATAAATTTCATTGTAGACTTGACCATCTAATTCGTAAAACACCATTGTCACCTGATTTGAGAAGGCGGAGACTTTCTTAAGTGCTTTGTAGAGTTGGACTCCTTTAGTGACAATCTTGAATGTTAAAATGATCCCATGCAAAGTCACGTGCAGTACCATTGCTAGTGTCTCTTGGGCAGTGACGGAGGCAGGATTTCTGCTAAGGGATTAACATAAAATAAAAAAATTAAAAGAGACTATGGCTAGTGTGAATTGAGGATGCTTTTAGGTTGTGTAAAGGAAATTCAAAATAAAATATACAGAGGGATAAAAAAGATTTTACTTTATATTTGTAGTATAATTTTCCGACGAAGGGGATACACATAGAACTTACTCTCGGCCCCTAAATCTCCCCTGCTCTTGGGTATTCAAGATTTTGCTATTGGCTGTAGTGTTTGTGCATATTAGGTGAGAAAATACTAAGTAATGGAGTAGGCAATAAAATACTAGTAATTGATTCTTGATTTTTCTATCTTTGCAGGTTGGGTTTTTGTACTCATCTACAAGAGGGGGAAGTAAGGTATGACCCTGTGCTTAATTCAGCCAATGGCAATTGAAGAACATACCACATTAATAGGAAAAACATAATGAAGAAAAATCGAAAAATGGATAGAGAAATTGGAAGAAGTAGGGAAATTGCAGGAAGACGCACCATAGACGTAGTTACTAAGTTGACTTTGTCAACGTTGACTAAGTCACACAAATATATGTAAATTCTATATTTGTATTAAAAATACAAATATAGAATTTGATCTAAAGCTATTGGGTTCTGTCGAGCCTACACCTTAACTTCAAGCTCAATCATATATAATTTTGAGCTGGAACTAAAGCTACTGGGCTCTGTAAAAAAAATGTGTATAATTGTTCATTAAAATAGTAGTGTTTAACCAAAAATCTGAGTCTTTGGTCAAAGCTAAAAAAAAATTCGGGTTACTGATAATCAAGAGACAAAAATAAAATACTTTTGAGAATGATGGTAAAACAGCAAATAGTTTTGTATTTCAATGAATTCTCAATAGTATTCCGTGTGTTTACAAATGATGATACTTCTTCCTTTTATAGATAATTCTAGGTAAATGAATGAAGCATCAGCTTTAATGATATAATTATGAATAATAAATGACATTAAATAAGCCGTTATACAATCATTCCTATTAAATACCAATTTTCTAACGTATCAAGTATTTAATAATGAATTTGGACTCCTTTCTGTCATCATATCTTTGTCTTTAATGCCTTCTAATCTGTTGGCTGTAAATAATTTAAATTGGTATGAGACTCGTATCTATACTTCGTCTCGTGCCTATTTAAATTCTTTTTCCCGTGGCTGTCTTCATCCGTGCCTCTTAGTCAATTGTTGCGCTTTGACCATTTAACTAAACCACGTGTCATGCCACATCATCTTTAATATAAACTCAGTTTTTTCCCAATACAGATAGTCCCCCCACTTTCCATTTATTTATCAATTAAATAATTGGGAAGTGGATCTTCATAAAAAAGGAATTTTTGCCACAATTAATGCTTATGACAGTATTAACGCCTCAGTAGTCTTTTCCATTTAATGTTCTGCCCATGTGTCATTTTCTGATTGATTCCGCTATTTACACCCTTTTTCGAGACTTCTTCATTTTCACTATTCACGAAGTGATAGCTGCCTTTATTATAGGCTTTCCATCATTGCACTTCTAAGGTTGACGATTCCCATTTTATACATAACTTTTTCTTCCTTTGCCTTCTTCACAAATCTTCAGCAAACACTTTCTTCTTTATTTTTACTTTCTTTCGACTTATCCTTCCTAACAATGTCTTCTTCAAACCCTAACCGTAAAAAAGTTATAATTCTAGACCAATTCCCCAACGCCCCTGTTAGACACAGAAGAAGCGGAGGAGGTAGGCTTCGAACAGGGTTAGAATCTACTCGAGGCGGCTCCTCTGGTTCTTCTTCAAGGAGTTCTATCCCAAAGGCCCCCTCTTCTAAAAGTAGAGAAACTCTTGACTCTTCTCAAGAACCCTCAGTTGATGAGATAGTTCCCAGCGATTTGTCTTTTGAAAGTGACAAAACGTCTCTTCAAAAACAAATTGCAAATTTAGAAAAAGCCGATACTTACCCTACAATAGTAACCGAGCTTACAATCCCCACCATAAGAAAAGATTGTAACTGGAAGGATAGTCTTCGAATGTCAATTCCTTCCCCAAATCAAAGAATTTCCTCCTTTAGAAGTGGGTATTCTTTTGTTTATACTTACCCCTTCACTTTAGGTTTTAATCCTCCGATTGACCCAGTTATTCTTGATTTTTGCCGTTTCTTTACAATTTGTTTGGCCCAAATCGGTCCACTAGTGTGGAGAACAGTGGCTTGTTTGAGATACTTATCCTCCAAAGCCAATGTCAATTTCACCTTCTCTCACCTCATTCATCTATACCACCCTAACTTAATACGCCATGGGGTTTTTACCTTAACTGCAAGGAGCAAAAAAGTTCTGGTAAATCCTGAAGATGACAAAGATCGTGGATGGTATATCCGTTACGTTGCTGTTCGTACGGTGGACTTGATTGGCGAAACAAATATTCCCTTCCCTGAGAAGTGGAATTTTGAACGTAGGTTTCCTTTTATTTACCGTACCTACTTTTGAGAATTTCAAAAGAAATTTTGTTTTTAACCTCGTCTCTTCTTGGTTTTTTGTAGCAACCATGGGAGATGTGGAACCTATTTCCAACTTCCGTGGTTGGGTAGACTCACTTTTGAAGATTGCTTCTAGGGAGCAAAGAACTTGGAGATCAATTTCTTCCTTACATGGCTGGAAGGTCAAAACACATGGTATGCCCCTTTTTATATGTT